GTAGCCATATGTCACCAAACAGAGTGCCATATTGGTTGATACAGCAATGAGGATGTTTAAAAATGCTGCATTCTAAATGTGTGGTGGATTAAGGTTGATGGCTATGGCAGTAGAGCTGGAGAGACTCGTTTGGCAGTCGTGAGATTTTCCATCTGCATCATTCGGCGAACACCCTGGATACCTTTGACCATTCGCCACCCATTAGCAAAGCGCTCCCTCGCTACTGAAGAGAGACAACTTGACAAAATGAGACGTGATTAATATTAAAGCCCCGATTATTATGCGGTCTGTTACCTGCTCTGCAGGTGTATTTTTAAACTCTCTCTCTGATCAGTATAATAGAGCACCTCCGAGGCAATGCATACACAAGGACTTGCAATAAAGAAGCGCGAGGGCGATTGCCGCTATCTCATATTGGCAAGGGTAATTGTAGTCTGACTTGTATGATTAATAACTTGATCATTAAAATTCTAGAACATCAATCAGGGACGAGACCCCTTGCCTCCCACACTCACTTACGGGGGGGGGGGGGGGGGGGGGCGGGGGGGGAAGAGTGATCCCCACAGATGTGCTGTCGTCATTAATTGCAAGGGAATGAATGTCCAGAAATTCTGGCCAATCCCTCCATAAACTCCTGTCAAACATCACTATCCACTAATGCTGTCAAATCGTATAACCCACTTGGGAGGGCTCCAATAACCACACGAGCAGCCTGAGAAGACCCCCGTACCTGCTACCCACATCCATGCAGCAATGTTAATTTGCGAGGCTCAGAAAGAGATTATATATATTTATATGAATTGGTTTTTTTTTTTTCCCATTGCGTTATCCGATAACGGTCACACATATACAGTACCTGTGTGTATTTCGTTTAATCTTCTCAAGTCTAACTATGGGCATTGTAGGGGGAAAATATTTTCCTGTATTAAAAAAAAAAATTTTGAACTTAATTTTTTTACCCAATAATCAGGCTTTTCGGACTCGTATCTGGTACAGCAATGGAAGAAGCGGTATTATTTACTGCCGAGGTCACAGGAAAGAAAGGGCTCCTGGTGTAATGGATGGAATTCTTGTAGCAGTCGGTAATAATTACCGTAACCCGCGTGGGAGCAGCGTACCCCGGGGGAGTGGAGCTGGGCTCTTGGTAGACATGGCAGGGCGAGTCACCTTGGTGTCCACAGCCAGGTTACCCCGAGTTAGACAAAGATCCCCTGTATAATCTTAACAGATTGTTGGGGCGAATGCTGTTAGTGAGCACCTATGAAGGCCGGTACGGCACACTAGGGGGCGAGTTGTCCAACATCACGCCCTTTGTCTTTCCAGTGGCGATGTTTACACACAACACCAGGTGCTCATTTGAGGCTGAGTCAACACAGGGGATGCCTATGACCGGTTCAGATCATCGTCACTGGTGTTGGCCATGAGCGGGAATCGAATTCGGGTTCTCGCGCAACGCGCTAACCGCTACACTGCCACGCATCCCGAGTCACACACGCACACGCACGCACACACAACGCTGGACCGTGTTAACTGCGCACATTGGAGAGTTCATTAGCCAACACGTGCGGCCGATGTGATATGCAGCTCTACAGTAAATATGACATGGAGTGCATTGGTTTGGGATCATAAAGCAGCACTACGGAAACACAATCACGCCCAGCTATTTATCAATGTTATCGTTATGCAATAGAGCCTACATTGTTTTTGTTGGGTTTTTGTGTGCATGAGGCTTATGTAATAAGTTTAAAGTTACATACAATCCACTGGTATTGCTAAGGTTTACATTGCACCACCTATTTATGAAAACGCGTAGCCCTGCAAATGCCTTCAAATTCAGTGCACATGAAATCTAGTTTTTTTTTGCAACCAAATTTGAACTGCATATGAATAGCATTTGAGTCAGCAATACATTAAAAAGAAGAAAATGCATATGCAAAAGTAATTCCCTGTCCAAATCTCCAATGTCATGCGCCCATTGGCTGACACCTCGCTGACCGGATTCCACCCCGGGATTTCGATCGCCTTTGGTTGCCCGTGCATCGTTCGCCACCACCCGCTTGGGCACCGCTCACTGCCTCCACACTCTCCAGGAACTGCGCGTTGCGCAGCATCTCTGCCAGTCCGCTGCTGGACGAGGGCCACTCCACGGTCGCCTGGGTCGTTGGGGGGTTTTCACCCTGCTTCACCACACTTCATCGGTGCTGGTTGGTTGAGGTGGGGAGCGTAGACATCAGAGCACAGTAGAGTACAACAGTGGATTTTGTTGCACCGCCATCTGCTGACAACGTAGCCCTTCAGCAGCCAACAGCACCTGTTTCACGCATAGTGGTTGCCCATCCGAGAACTATCCAGGCTCAAGTTTGCTGAGCTGTCAAATTCAGGATGGAATCAGGCAGATTACAGGTGATTTGGTCAGAGCGTATTGGTGTGTGTGTGTAGGGAGTGGAAGTGTGTTGGTTAGCGGGCTGCACTACGAATCCAGCGACCCGGGTTCGATTCCCGCTTATGGCCAACATCAATGGCGATTTTCTGAACGGATCATGGGCCTCCCCTAAGTCGACTCAGCCTCAAATGAGTACCTGGTGCAGTGTGTAAATATTGCCACTAGGGAGACAAATGTGGCCGGGTGGTGATGTCGGCCACCCACCCCCTCGTGTACCGTGCCGGCCTTCAAAAGGTACTCGCTAACAGCACCTGTCCCAAAAGTATGTTGAGGCAACGTGGCGGTCTTCGTCTTATTTGTCCTGAGTTATTTAAGCCTTGGAAAACCAGCTGTTACTGGTCCAGTAGTTCGACCACAACATCTAGAATTTGGGCTTCCTTAATCCATCAGCAAAAGTGCCGGCTTCTCTTAAAACGACCGATAGAGTGATCGTAACCAGACCCTGGGCCCTCTTGATGCATTTGCAGGAGTCTAAAAACACCACATGGTGCAGGGGAATTCATGCCAAGACGACGCGGAGGAAAAACGGTAGCCAAATGTCATAAATAATGAAGCTGCCTCATCTCTGTTTGACACTTTACACTGAATTGGCTCCACATGCTTTTAGAGCATCAGAGCTTTTGTCAAGATGCCCTGCGCTGGGTATTCTTTACGCTGCCTTATTGCTTATCATGGAGATGTCATGACGTCATGTGAACACAATAACCTGAGATGCAAAAGGGAAACAAAATGTTTTGACCGGTACAGAATGCATTCATTGCCAGGGAGATATTTCTAGACGTAATAATGGTCGTAATTTACAGCGCTTTTTCAATCCACTGCTGGATAACAGCTTCCCAATGCTTTTCGGTCATAGGGATGTTTGACCATACTTCACCATGCTTGTCAATGCGGGTAGGTGAAGGGGTGAGACCAGGACAAGCTCAGATCTCACTCGCTACGTATGTTAGCCACCACAGGGTGCTAACCACTACACCGCTGCATTGCCCATGAGTTTACATACAGCTTCTTGATATGTTAAACATTCATGTGAAAAAACTGTGCCTTAATTAGCAATTACGTTTGCATTAAATAGCAATATACCCAGTTATTAGAGTAACTGCATGATACATTTTCGATGCTCATTAGTCCATATTGGTCCAGCAAGGCCTATTACTTCATGAGCTCGCATTCAAGTTGTTACAATAGCTCCATTTTAGCTGTAATCAAACATAATTGTGCACACTCTTACACACGCCGATTCGTACCAACAACACTTCATTAAAATTCACTTTTAATGCTGCCAATACCTGGAAAAGAAGCCTTTTTTTCAACATCTGCTGTCGTTGCCATTACATCTTGTGCAGTGACGGAGAGAATCCATAAAATCTCCGAAATTGTAGGCAAAAATGGCACAGGTCTTTTGATTAAGACTGAAAGCTCGGAGCAACGATTGCAGCGTGTCCGTATTGCTGAGCGAGCCATCCCCGTCAAGCCCACCCTGGGCCTCTGACCCGCTTGCATCAGGCCTGTCTAACCCAGCCTTTCCGATGCTCGGATCAATGGGGCTGATTCAGCGTTTGATAAGCGCCACTGGAAAATCAAGGGGCTAGTCAAGAGGACGTACGCACCGAGCTACTGTCATCGTCAAAGGGCAAACATGGAAAAGGCGCAGCCCTTAATTTCTGGCCCACGCCACTGCTGGCGGAAGGGCCTCCGCTAGAGGGTGGAGAGCTCCTCTACGAGGTTTTTTTTGGCTTACTCTTCCACGCTGTTCAAATGTCTTGGTCGAGATTGTTTAGAGTATTGCATTGCAATTATTGTAATTTGTCGTGTGTGTGGTTGGGTTTCGAAGTGTAATGGAGTGACCTGAACGTGGCTTTGTGGTTAACGTAACAAAACACATCAAAGCCTCTCTGTCCCTGCTGGTCAGGGCAGTGGTCACTGGTCGAGTCAAAACGAGTTTGGATAAATCACGCAAACGCGTTTGTGCTTGGAAGTATTTAATCTACGGCATGGAATCTGATGACTAGCTGTCAGGGAAAAAATGCGTGTTTTTGTATTTGCAAATGCAGCAGTTTATTTTTACTCTGATTTGCATATCCAAGGTTTTGTCAACACCTTCATCAAGTTGGCCGGTTTTCAATCGGGTATAACCCTAACAGAGACACAACCTTCTAAAAATGCATTCGTATTGGATCACAATTATGTATGTATGGTGAACTTCTTTCACACCGTACATAGCCAACCGTGCTAATCGAGGATGCAGGAGGACAACAAAATATACACAAAAAGCAGTTCTAAAGAAATTCGTTTTCAAATTACAAGAATTTGGGTCCTCCCGCTCCCCATCCTGCCCCCCCCCGCCTCCATGATCATGAACATACGGACGTACAGAGATAATGCCTAAAAGTTTTCCCCACTTAGTCAATTTAAATTTGTTTAATCAGACAAGAACTCAAGAGACCAGGATAGCCTCATGTATGTATGTTGAACTTCTTCCGCACCGTACGTAGCCAACTGCGCTAATCGGAGATGCGCTGTGCTGTGCGCGCATCTCTCCCTGCGCGCCACACAGGTCATCGACTGCATCTGCCAGGGTCGCGTTCTGGAGCGGCCACGCAGCTGTCCCATGGAGGTGTACGAGCTCATGCTGGGCTGTTGGCACCGGGAGCCCCAGCACCGCCTGGGCATCAAGGACATCTTGGCTCGTCTCGAGAGCCTGGCCAAGATGTCCCCCGTTTATCTCGACATCTTGGGGTGACCGGTGCCCTCTCGCCTTCGCTTCGCAATGTGTTTTTTTTGTATTTATTGGTGGGGTGGGGGGGGTTGTTTCTTTTTTAAAATGGGTTCCCTCTTTTGATTGTAAAGGGATGTAAAGTCTTGTTGTTGTGCGGAATCGGTAATCACATTCGTCGTGTCTAGGGTGAGAGAGTAAGATAATTCGAATTGAATGTGGTAAAATAAAGTACATATTACGATCATCTTACACGTAACCCTAAAACGTACTTCCCAAAAAGGGGAACGGGCTTCTTGGGAGAAGCTATGAATGGTCACACGTTGAGGCACGATGCATGAGATATTAATGCTGTCATGACATTTCAAATTCCCCTCCCTTTAAAATCTTAAAATGTTCAAGTAAATTACAGTTACATCATTTGCAGGAGACAAGTTTGGGCAGATTTTAGGCTCATTTTCACGAGCCTTATATGACTTTCTTTAAAAGGTTTGGTATTTGCTTCAATGTTACGTGAGAGCAAATTACCGTTGCTGCACGCGGTGGTTCAGATTAAATTTCAAATTAAATTTTCCATTGCAGGCACCACACTGCGCAGAACTTGGCAGCGTGAATTATTTTTGCAAGCTTCTCTGCTCAAACTTGCTGCCGTCAGTATTTCAGCAGTCACTGTTTGTAGGCAGTCACCATCCTCGATGGTAAATTACTTCGCCAGAGTTTGGACCACCAGGCTTCATTTCCTGCATACATTATCTACATCGGTGCAAAAGGTCATTGTCATCGAACTTTGAGCATCGTTAGATCTCCACACATCATTTGAAGAGTTTCATCAGAACAACGAATTTGAGGCGAGAAAATTATCAAACTAGGTGCGTTAGGGTGGGTTCTGGGATTGCAAACTACATTTTCAGATTGGACATATCGATATGAATGCACAAAAGATAACAAAAAATATTATCGTGTGTATTTGTTAAGAGACAAGTTATGCGTTGAGAATATCAGTGTCATCACGCATAATCAGTCCGATTCTCCTGGGCATCGTCATCATCATCATCATCGTCGTCATCATCCATGAGCATCTAAAGTCGATACAAAAAAAACCTCTCCCGGGTGACCTCGTTCACCAAGAGGGAACGGCGAAGCATTCGTAGAGATTTTCTACAAAGCGTGGGGGAGGCCCTCGCTCCCCATGCCACCCTCGTGACAAACACGAGAACCCCATTTGGCGTGCGCACCAGCCAGCCAGCCAAATGGACTGCACCTCGCTCGCCGATGCATACAGATCAATTGGCGGCGGTGGAGGGGGGGTGCGGTGGTGGGGGGGGGGGAGGGGATGGCAAGCCCTGCATATATTTATCGATTGGTTTTATTTCGTAAAAGAGTGCGCTTTGGCACCGCGTCGCAGAGTCAAATGTCGCGCGACTCTCCGCCCGCGGATCTTGGTGACCGCGCGACGTGGGGGGCGATTGGGGAGGGTGGTGATGGTGGTGGTGCCATCGCAAGGAGGTCGCCGGCGTGGGGCGTGGGCACGCCGGCGACCGTGGCTTAGCTTGCCCGTTGGGTTACGGCCATGGCATCACCGCGAGCGTTTGAACGTGCAGGAGTCCAGGGCACGCAATGAGACATCCGAGATGCGAATAATAATATAATCAGATGTCCGCCGCATTGTGTCGCGCGGCGGAGAAGGCTCGTGTGGCCGGTCACGCAGAACCTTGGGGGCTCTAAATAACCGGCTAAAGGTAACTCAATTGTGAGTACTACAAAGGACGCTACGAGGTCCTGTCTTGTTTATCAAGCCTACAATTGTACGTCGAATGGAATATATAATGTACATCTCTCCTAACTGTGTCAGTTTCCGGCGAGAAGAAAAGCGTCTTTTTGAAAGCGCTACTAGATCGCCGCAAATTACTTTAACGTCGTTGTGTCTGCCTACTAAAGCTACTGTGTATTCGGCTATTAGCGTAATGTACGATAGTCATAGTCTTCAATTGACTCTAGCGTTATTCATAGAAGTATATGTGTTATTTAATTCATTATGAAGACGTCTTAACTGGGTTAAAAAAAACTATTTAAAAAAACTAAACAGTTAAAGATATACTTATCAGCTATCATAACATATTGCACATTTCAGTATTACTAAACCCGACGTATTGCATTTAAATCGAAAGCATCATGTTAAGTAAACACAGGTTTGTACTCTATTGAGAAGATGCATGGGCTGTGTGCATTAGTGACATATGTTGGTTGCATGTAGCGGTTTAATTTACTATCACCGTCATGTTTTACATTACAGCGTTGTGCACATTTGGCGCGGTGTTCAACGGGTGAAGAGAGGAAAAAGTAATGATGAATATGTTTCGAACGTGTTCTCTGATGAATGTAACGCACAGAAGTTTTTTTTTCTTTCTGAGATTGGGTCGGTGTTTGCTAAACACGGACCGCATTCTGACACATCCAAGCTCGTGAAAATTGGAAGAAGAAAAAAAACGTGACCGAAAGAGTGAAATCAAGAGGATCTGCTCGTAATGCTTTGCGTGTTCGGTGTTACAGGGATGATCTGCACGGCAGTCCGACAGAAAGCTGTCGTCTTACACATCGGCTGATACCCACGGCAGTGACAATGCTCTGCGGTATTGCTATAATGTCTCCTTCCGCAAATACAAAGGAGACATCACAGCGATACACCCCGCTGCTCCTGACACCGTTGTCTGGCTTAAACCACCTGAATGTGAAATTGTTGTTGTTGCTCTGCAGCTACATCAGCAGCCGTACGCGTGATGAAGAAGAAGAATGCTCTGCTTGCAGCACCGATATCAGTGCAAGGCAGATGACGCGTTGGAGCCGGTCCTATGTACGCCGCGTTGTTTTGTAACGCATTGTGAATTCGAGCTGCCACGTGCTCCGTGCATTACCCAGCGCTTTCTTATTGCTCATCGGTGAGAAAGTCGTATGCGGCCCGCATACCACCCGCTATTGTGTCCATGCTTACAAGCGTGCAAATTAAATCGTGAAATTGTAAATGACGAGCAATAAGAAAAGGCTCCCTAAAATAAGGAATATAGCATGTTTTGGATGATTGTAGGAATAATCGTGAACGATGACCAAGTTGTTGAGCTCTTCGGTGTGTGTTCAGGTTGTACCGCGTGTTGTTCGGGTTTTATGTCCGACGTTTCGCTCCATGTACTGGTTATTCTTCAGCATCTGCTTCAGTTCTTGAATAATAATAATAATACTCATAATAATATAGTACATTTGGTATTTGCGCCATTCTCATAGTACAAAGCTACCGCGAAGGCATGATGTTTCACAGACGTAGTCTGCAGTAGTTTCACAGTAGGGGGCGATGTTGCTGTGCGGAACCCCAATTGAGTAATTAAAGTGAGTAATTAAAGTGGGTAATTTTCAACTTTTGCTAAATTTGGACCAGGACACCAAACACACTAAGACATCAGGTTTGGATCTTTAGCGCCGACTGTAGAAGCAGATGGTGGGTATTTTACGTGTAATGCACTCGCAGTGATTACCAGGGTGGCTTGTGTGGGGGTTCGAACTGGGAACCCCTGCAGCAAGCGGCGAGCGCGCTAGCGCCGGGCCTCGCCACTGCTCCCCACGATGCTCTCAGCTCGCGTAGCGGAGGCGTCGGATGTCGCACCATAGCACACGCGGGTCCAGCCGAAGAATAATACATCGGGAGAGCTAAACGACCATAATACCCACTGGGCACTGCAGTATGACTCAGATGTTATTGATGAAGGTGATGATGATGATGATATGTATGACAATAACGTGTATATCAAACCGCGGAAAAGGCAGAAGAGACTTACAACACGAATGTAGGCAACAAATGACAAGGACACCGATGAGAATGACAATTATGAACGGCATAGCGAGAAGAATTATTATGAAGACATTACCATATAATTCATTTAAACTGATCCCCAGATCCTGTTACAACTTGACCCGTTTTGCCAACGACTGTTGCCACGGTTATGGAATTCTAATTAACTCCTGGCAGTTTGGTCAGTCGATTTATTTGCTAATGAGCCACTTAAAATGGTTTACGTTTTTTATTTGTTTATTTATTCACAGCTCACTTTAATATATTGACATGTATAATGTATGTCGCGTTTTTTTGACTAAATTAAAATTCAATATTACAACAATAATCAAATTGTGATTCCGTGATGCGTTTAATGAAATTATTTCCAGCCCAGACGACCAAGGCCCTGCGTACAAAATACTCGAGGCGAAACTATGCCCCGTGCATGCACAGTACATCGAGAACAATCCTCGTACTGTACATGGAAATGGTCGCACACAAAGTATTTTCTGGTAAGTATCACTGAAATATGTAATTAGCGTGATTACTTCTGAGCGCATAATCTTTTCCATGTTCAATAGCAAGCACAATTCCAGTATCAATATTTTCCCTCGTCCGCTGGCGTATTATATTTGCTCGTGCTGGGCACATATTTATCCCGCGACGTAGTAAAACAAAAAAAACCGACCAGCTCGTGCGCCAAAGAACACTCCGCAAACCCGAACGAGCGAGATCCGCAATTGAGAACGTCTCACGATTGGAATTAAAAAAAGGATTCCGCGAAAAACCCGTGAATGTCGAGAACGCTGGACACGCTTAACAAATACACGCGCGCTTGGGGGCCGGGGGGCGACAGCGCAAGGAGCCGAGGTTTTGCATTGCCCACGGGGGAAGCAGCACTCCTAAGACATGGTGCAGGTGTCGTGCCCTCCTGCTGATTCGGGTGCGTGCTCGCTGGAGCCACGTGGCCATCGATGACGCCAGGTTTAGTGACCCCCATCGTCGCATGAGCTGTGAGGGGTTGTGGGTGGGTGGGGGGGGGTGAGTCTGGCCAAACAGATGAATGAGGCTTCACCATACAGCTCCTCAAAATGTGCCCCGAACTCTTCCAAAAAGAATGTCACTTGCCAATTATTTTTTTGCATGTTTTGTTCCTTTGCACCAGTTGCAGGGTTCAGCGCACTCCGTATATTACCATTAACATACTGCACTGCTCCACAGCACTGCATCACTCCCAGCATAATAGACCTGCATTTGATCATTTTGTTTTATTTTATTCCAAAACGCTGGCTTTTTATTATTATTATTTACACTCAATGTGCAAACATTTTGCATAGCTCTGTAGAGTATGATCAATTATGTAAGCGATTATCTTGGCGAAATCGTACATTTTTGTAAAGTCATTTGTAAAAACACGATTAAATCAATATGTATGTCGAGAATTATAGTTAGCAATATGCATGCTTTTAATGCGACTTACAAATGATTGACAGATCCACTCGATGTCATTTCGCATTCCCAAAGATACCCAGTCAACACTAGTAAGAAGTATATACTGAATTCTACTTTGTAGTTGATATTATTAATAACCTATCAAGTTTGGGCCACAACTTCAACACACGTTGGTCTACTCTTATCAATCATGCCGGAGGGTCTTTGACATCAAATTCATAGCTGCAGGTGCCATTCGTTAATGTACTGCAGCATTAGCAGGTATTGTAGTTTGCCTCTATCACCGTAAGCAAGCCATGACACACTTTAAGCTTATTTTACCATAGCATCAGTACTTTATATGATATTTTTAATCACTGCAAAAACTTTCTGGATTTCTTCAATATTCCCAATGGCACCACCTCTGATTATAATCATACAGTCTTTGGTTATTTCGGCTATTCAGTGCAACTCTATAGGATAGGTTAATAATTATTAACCGAATAGCCTGTATGATATGCTTAGTGTGAGAAAACGTCCACAGGTTGATAATTGTTTTCTCAGAAAATTCAGTTACGATGCGCAATGGCTTATTATTTTGTCAAATAAATGACCATGCTACCAATGGATTTTTTCCATCGCATTAGGAATGAATGCGTCACCTATTAATGGGCATGCTTCAAACCCCTTCATTAGCAAATGAGATATCTAGGAAGGCTGTTGTACTGCTTATCTGTCATCAAAATTGTAAATCGTTAAACCAACAACCTATCGTTAAACACCAATATATATGAATGACATTCATCACAAAAAGAGCGAAACGTTGACTGCTTGTTCACATTATCAACAAAGGTTTGAGAGCACAGCTATGCAGTGAGTGTTTCTGCTAATTATCCTCATCTGCCCGCAGTAACAATGTACTATTGTTTTACTTGGACAAAGAAACACGAAGTGTTTGACAAAAGGCAAGTCTGAAACCTATTAAACATAATGCAAGGGACGGTAAGCGATTAACTTTCATTTCCTGTTTTAAAGGAAACTATCTTCACTTCATAGCCTTCATTCCTCAGGCCAACAGAAATGAGACACATCTGACCATCAGTGTCCTGTGCTATCTTGCAAATGTCACGGAAATCTGATTTAGTTTCACTCACGATCGTGAGTAAATTTCCCATAAAGCTATACTTTTATCAAACGCAAAGGAGGAATGTAATTCACGTATAAACATTTCACCATCTCCGCTTGACAACACATGCTCGTTTCCTTTGAATGAACACAAGCTGTCCCCTTTCTAAATTGTAATTTGTTGGAACATGTGTGTGGTTTCTTTTTTGTATGTTTTTTCCTTTCCCAGGCTCAAAAGTACAATCGTGCCCAGAATGCGTGCCAGGGTGTAGTTGTTCCAGAGTGTTGCAACGGTGCAAACTTGTCAAAGCTGCGCCTGCAGTGAGTCTCACTGGTAAAAAAAAAACTACTTTAAAAGGTCTAAATCCTACATCTGCTGCGAAACTTTGAAATGTTAACGCTTCGTACAAGCGAGGGTTTTCTCCAGGCATTCCACAGTTTTCTCTCACACGGAATCCAAACACTCAACATTGGAACTGGACAAACTTCCCAACGCAGGACACTAATTAAAAAAATAAATAAACCTGAAGCTGATGTTGTCTTTTCCGGATAAACAAAGACCATGCCACGTGGCTCTCGCGGTGTATCATTGAACCGATTGTGTCTTTCTCTAAAGAAAATGGTGCTGCTTCGTAAAATTAATGGAAATAGTTACAGTACATAAATAAACAAGGGGTGTTTGTATCACCAAAAGTCAAATAACAACGAGTAAATTGACTCAGTGTGCGATTGCTTCAGTTATGACTCCTTCACACATCTAAGGTCTTATACTCTAAAAAACTAAAGTCGCCTCTCTCCGAGATTTTGTGGAACACAGTTTAGTGATTGCTGGCGATGGGAGGATTAAACAACACCGCTTTGAAGGCACGTTCGTGTCTTAAGACAGAAGTAAGATTGATAGCTCGATGACTTTTGCATCTAAAATCTATTTTATGGGGTAAATAATGTTTTCATTCCTATGGCTCTGCTGTTCATTCGATGCTGTCGTTATGGTCAGTGTGGAGGTAATTTTGCATCGTTAAACGCCCTTCATAACCTTAATTACATATTCGATGTAGTAAAGTAATGCAGTAAAGAGCCGTGCATTGGCTGTGTTGTAAAGTTCCTGAAACCGACATCAACCTGTGCTAATGAACAATACACAACCTTTAAGTAAGTTCGCCGAAATAAATAACAAGTAATTACATTTGTTATTTGTTTAAACTATGTGCTTGCTTTCCTGCACCTTTTTTTGTCACGACCTGGCGTGGTACGAGGGCCGGGAAAGATCCCGGCACGTGGCGAGAATGGAATGGGACGTTAATGAATACGTGCGCCAGTGCCTGTGATGATGTGTGTTGTGTGTTTGCGAAGACTCCTGATCCCGCGGCATGAGCACCACTTGATAGCATACAGACGATGCCCCCTCCCCCCCCCCATGAAGACAATATGTATGCACTTCTGATCGGCAGAGGCTTGGGCGTGACAGGCCAAATCAAAACAGATGGCGCGAAAACTATCGGATCGGGCGTTTTTACGTCCGTGGATTCCCGGTGAGGCTGCACTCGGACCAATGCGCACACTTTGAGAGCGAACTGATTTGGGGAGCCGCGGTGGCGAGGGAGATAACCCAGGAGTTCGCGGGTTCGATCCCGTCCCTGACTATGCCCTATTGTATATTTGGAGTTCGAGTGATCGCCCTTCCCCCGTGGTGGTCGCGTCGAATTTTCGCCGGGTCCTCTGGTTTTGTCCTCCACAATTAGAAACGTGCGTTCAGATTATTCGGCTGATAATTTTAATTTGCCGCGTATGATAAGCCATTTCGATGAGCTATCACGTGTGGCCAGGTTACCCGCTGACAACGAGCTCATAGCTCAGTGGGCTTTACCTGGTAAAATAAAGTCGTTTAGTTTGGTTTAGTTTAACACGTAGGCTTCCACGACCAATATTATTCATAATAAAAGTTTTCGGGTTAGATCGCGTAAGTATAAATGTGTCGTAACCTTCCACCAACCGAGGAATTTGTCACGTAAACAAAACGCCAATGAGTTACTACTTCAGCCCACCGGTGTGTTGGAGAGTACAGTAACTGGGGGGTTAGCATGATGTTGGTGTGAGGGATGAGCACCACGGAGAGCGACGAGCTCGGACCGGAGGAGGGGGGAGAGGAGTTTACATGCTAATTTATATGTAAACTCCTTTGTCAAGACGCTCTGTTCCTGCCACACAGCTTGGCAGGGTTCACTCAAGCGCTGTCTTCCGGACAGTCCTGTTTCTTCACCTGAGGAAGGCTACTTGTGTTGTGGCCGAAACGTCGTGAAAATTTTATTCTGTTATTGTTTTTTATTATTATTTTATCTCCATTCTACGTGACTTTACCGAAAGAACCCAGAAGATAAAGGACGGTTCTTTGGGCGATTCGCCAGGAGAGTGAACGGAAGTCGGAGGAGAGACAAAAATAAAACACGCACAACGCAGATAGATTCTGTCTGCACAGGGCATTTAAACTGTTTGGGCGTTGCCCCACGTGATCGCAGAGTGCTGGTGATGCCTACCCCGATTATTGAGTTAGTGATTAAGTGGCAACTCTAACAGTCACCTGTTACACGTACATAACATAACTTATCTTATAAGAATAGGTTTTACCCTTTCTGGCAATAAAACAGGTGTTAAAATGTTAAAACACCAAACTGAAACCTTTTGCATGGAATAATGTCTGCATTAACCACATATAATTGTGGTGAATATACACACAAAAATCACGCTCTGGTAGTATATGGCATTGTTTTTTTTTACTGATTGGTCCACAACAGAGACAGCTTTCTTTAGAGCCTAGTCTCAAAGAGTGTTAGACCAGAGGACGTTCCAAAGACAATGCATATACAGTGAGGGAAAAAAGTATATGATCGCCTGCTGATTTTGTACGTTTGCCCACTGACAAAGAAATGATCAGTCTATAATTTTAATGGTAGGTTTATTTAAACAGGGAGAGACAGAATAACAACAACAAAATACAGAAAAACGCATGTTGAAATGTTATAAATCGATTTGCATTTTAATGAGGGAAATAAGTATTTGACCCCCTCTCAATCAGAAAGATTTCTGGCTCCCAGATGTCTTTTATACAGGTAACAAGCTGAGATTAGGAGCACACTCTTAAAGGGAGTGCTCCTAATCTCAGCTTGTTACCTGTATAAAGGCACCTGTCCACAGAAGCAATCAATCAATCAGATTCCAAACTCTCCACCATGGCCAAGACCAAAGAGCTCTCCAAGGATGTCAGGGACAATATTGTAGACCTACACAAGGCTGGAATGGGCTACAAGACCATTGCCAAGCAGCTTGGTGAGAAGGTGACAACAGTTGGTGCGATTATTCGCAAATGGAAGAAACACAAAAGAACTGTTAATCTCCCTCAGTCTGGGGCTCCATGCAAGATCTCACCTCGTGGAGTTGCAATGATCATGAGAACGGTGAGGAATCAGCCAAGAAACTACACGGGAGGATCTTGTCAATGATCTCAAGGCAGCAGGGACCATAGTCACCAAGAAAACAATTGATAACACACTACGCCGTGAAGGACTGAAATCCTGCAGCACCCGCAAGGTCCCCCTGCTCAAGAAAGCACATATACATGCCCGTCTGAAGTTTGCCAATGAACATCTGAATGATTCAGAGGACAACTGGGTGAAAGTGTTGTGGTCAGATGAGACCAAAATGGAGCTCTTTGGCATCAACTCAACTCGCCGTGTTTAGAGGAGGAATGCTGCCTATGACCCCAAGAACACCACCCCCACCGTCAAACATGGAGGTGGAAACATTATGCTGTGTGGGTGTTTTTCTGCTAAGGGGACAGGACAACTTCACCGCATCAAAGGGACGATGGACGGGGCCATGTACCGTTAAATCTTGGGTGAGAACCTCCTTCCCTCAGCCAGGGCATTGAAAATGGGTCGTGGATGGGTATTCCAGCATGACAATGACCCATAACACACGGCCAAAGCAACAAAGGAGTGGCTCAAGAAGAAGCACATTCAGATCCTGGAGTAGCCTAGCCAGTCTCCAGACCTTAATCCCATAGAAAATCTGTGGAGGGAGCTGAAGGTTCGATTTACCAAACGTCAGCCTCGAAACCTTAATGACTTGGAGAAGATCTGCAAAGAGGAGTGGGACAAAATCCCTCCTGAGATGTGTGCAAACCTGGTGGCCAACTACAATAAACGTCTGACCTCTGATTGTCAACAAGGGTTTTGCCACCAAGTATGTTTTGCAGAGGGGTCAAATACTTTTTTCCCTCATTAAAATGCAAATCAATTAATAACATTTTGACATGCCTTTTTCTGGATGTTTTTGTTGTTATTCTGTCTCTCACTGTTCAAATAAACCTACCATTAAAATTATAGACTGATCATTCTTTGTCAGTGGGCAAACGTACAAAATCAGCAGGGGATCAAATACTTTTTTCCCTCACTGTATACTACCAGAGCATGTTTTTTTGTGTATGTGGCTAATGCAGACATGATTCCTTGCAAAAGGTTTAAGTTTGGTGTTTTAACCAAGGGTGGGAAAAACCCGATTTTTTTTTGCCCGACAAATCGGGTTATTGGTTTTAATGGAAGTAAACCCGATTTTGCCGATTATCGGCGTCTCGTGCACACTTCAATCCTGCTCCTCGTCGTCGTCCGCCGCCGCGTCGTTTTCGTCGTCGCTCTCGCTGCTGGACTCGGTGTTGTCGCGGCCGTCGTCGGGCGTCGGGTAGTCGTGGAACGCGTTGAGGTTCGACTTAATGAAGACGAGCGACTGAAATCCCGACTTAACTTTAATAAAACCGAATAAAACCGGATTTGGGCAGGATCCAGGTGCTCCGGTTTTATATGAAAACCGATTAAAACCCGAATGAATAAAACCGGGCCGTGCCAGCCTTGGTTTTAACATCTTAGCGCCTGTTTTATTGCCAGAAAGGGTAAAAGCTATTCTTATATTTTGATCCTGGAAAGAGAGGTTCCATGCACATAACTTATGTTATTTTATATTTATAGAGCGTGCCTTCACTCAATGCGCTGAACATAGTTTAAAAAGGGACAATGGGGAATGATTTAGATGGCAGGGGTGTGCAAGGGTTAAGGAATGAGTTACCACGATAGAGGGCACTTAGGGGTCACAAAAAGGCAGGGGAGGGACGGGAAGGAGTGGAGGGATTGAGGGCAGGGAAGAGGAAGAGAATGGGCAAGATGGAATAGGGAAGCTTTGCCATCTTAACCATTACGTATGTATGTTGAACTTCTTTCGCACCGTACATAGCCAACCATGATAATCGCAGGTGCGGGCGAAGGACAACAAACTAAACACAAAAAAGCAGTAAAAAAGAAATGCGTTTTTCAATTCAAGATGGCAAAGGAGGCTAGGAGTAGATCTCGTACAGACCACGCTTTTTGTGCGTTCAGAAGGGGACCGGTGTTTTAGGGCAGACGCAATGCAGCAATGAAAACGTGAAACGTGTCTGGTTCAATAATAAAATGCTTATAACACGCACGGCCGTGCTTTCTGCCACAGCCCATTTGATTCATTCATCAACAAACCTCCCCAGCATGTGATCAATAATGCTCATGTGCCACTCGCTGTCTGCGGGCTCTCGGCTCATAGCGCTCACTGTCCTCTTTACTCAGACGGGGTGGGCGGCGCGTTCCGTTGCCACGAGGAACTTTCCCCTCCACCTCAAGGCCGGGCCTATACGGGGATGATCAATAACTTGTCCTTTTCACCCACTAAAGCGGAGAGCGTCACAAGTTCCCCAACGAGGAATCCGAGACATCACTTCTGTGTTACCGGTTACAAGGACACGCGGCTGTCATGTCCGATCGCTCGCCGGAACGCGTCTCGAAAGCGCGGTTTGTTTGTGACACCATCGTGGGCGGGCCGACAACGGCGGAAACAGACGGGCGGGCGTTTTGCGCCGCTTGAAGCAAATGTTCCGCCGTTCAGATCAACGATGATTTCATTAAAGTTAGAAGAACACGTGGCGTATTCGTGTTTTGAGATCACGGGTTATTCGTGTGCTGATTTGCGTACTTGAGCATCGGCTGACCCAAGGTGAATATCCCGCACAACCTCTCCTGTTGTCAGTCTGTCCACAAAAAAGTGAATGCTGGATTCATATAGCGTATGCTGGCATTTAACCATTGGCAGCCACTAACTGCACTACTTCCCTTGCTTAAAAACTTATGTTT